GAAAAGGCATGCGAAACACGTTTCGAATGAGGGCAAGTGGCCTTTTCATAGTTAGTGAGCGCATTCAAAACATATTCTCGATGAAATTTCAAAAAAAAGTTTTATTCTTAAGAAATGCTCGACTTACTAAGATACATGTGTCAAAGAACTCCAAAAACAGTTGTCAAAAGGGATACAAAGCACAACTCATCAGAAAAGTGGCGTTCGCTAATAGATATCAACAGGTCAGAGATTATAAGTCATTCTTACGGAAATGGTGGAAATCACGGAATAATGTGGGAAAGATTGGTTACTGTAGAATGATTGGATACGTGTTTGTTTTCTTTTGGAGTTGGCAGTCCAATTTTTAAGAAGTTTTCTCTTAATTTTTGGAGAAATGGAGGAAGAATTAGTTTTGTTTAAACGTTTCTGGACTGGTAAACGAGTTTGTGGTAAAAGCCAAAATTGGAAGCCAAAGTGTGTAACGTCTCTTATATTTTTGTTGTAGATCCATTGGAATCTGGTGGTGTTGATCTAGAGCTCAAGCTTAAAGCGGTGCAGCTTTTCAGCTTTTTCTAATTAGCATGCTGTTTAGAGCTACCTTGAATATAGTAAAGAGAGTCTCTAATATTACTGTTATTATTCGCCAAATTGGAATGCAGTAGTGAAGATTCAGTTCTGTTGCGTTTTGGAAGGACTACTTGTAGAATTGGTTCAATATTGAATTTTGTCGAGTTTTTGCTTGAAAAATTTATAAGGTAGCCAAACTGTTATTGAAATTAATTTCTGGGAATTAGGGTAGAAAGTAAGTTACAAGTTTTGTTAGCTAATTTACAGAGAAGGTTAGCAGAAGGCCTTTATCCTGGTCTTCTGTTTGCAACTCCGAGTGGAAATTGAATTGAAGTACATGGAGCCTGGTTTCACATTTCTTGATGCCAAAAGCCTACGCTAGAGGGCGCAGTTCTGCTTTTACTAAAATCTGGTCGACAAGCTGAGGAGGAGATTCAACGTACCGTTGAGTTTGTCCTACTTTTTAAAGTACTATGAATTTCTGTGATGCCAGTAACTAGAGGTTTTTCTTCGCCGCAGTCATCTTTTCTTAAACAAACTACTTTGCTCAATTTGTTGGTATACTCCTTCATCCAGCTGCATTTCAACCATCACCTGATCTTTTTTGTGCTCTTGTATAATGCTAGTTAGAATCTCATTTTTAAGTTATTTATGACCTACAGTTTTGTGACCGTAACGTTTCAAAACACTTGGTTTTTTATCATTTTATTGATGTTTGATGTAATCTGATTAGGAGCACCAGCCGGAAGCGACACTACATTTCCAGCTAACTAGTTTCATTTCCAGTCCAAATATAGAAGCTTTTGGAAGGTTATCTTCGATAGTATTAAGTTTTATTAAGCGTTCCGTATATCAAGTAGATTTCATTGCTCTAATAATAATTGCTGATGTTTAAACTTCTGCTAATACCTAATTTATTGAACTGGGCAAAAGTGTGAATTATACTCGAACGACTTATTTTTTGTAGTGTAATTATTCAGATTTCTTACAAAAAATGTTGTTTGAAACTTTTTGAAAATTTTTAAGACAAAATTACTCTCATGTTTTTTAAATATATTTTAACAAATCGAAGAAGAAAAAAGTGATTCTGCAATCATAATGAATTTTAAGAAATTTGTAATCAGCACAGAACTGGCAATTGCAAGAAACAGGAAAAACAGTATGAAGCATATAAGTGTGTTTACTAACGTAAAGCAAACAAACATTTGTGAGCAGACTATCAAAATTATCAAATTTCAATCAAATTCATTGTGAAAATCTCTTAAAAACTGTGTGATTAAGTAGAAAATAGTATCATTGTGTAAGATGTATTTTTACTTTCAAACGTTCTCCATTTTTTTTTTTTTTTTTTTTTTTTGGAGATCTTTACACAACCTTTCTGTTTACCTGTATGCATTGGAATTAAGCAAGAAAAGTAGATTGTTCGTTGCTTCTTTGTTTTTTTTCACAGCTATGACTTTACAAATGTATTTGTTTTTTGACAATGTTCTTTTCTTCTTACCATTTTTTTGTATGGCTTATTTTATTGTTTCAGTGTTTAATCAATGGAAAGTCACTTCAACAGCAAGTCCAAGGAGGATAATAATATATGGTGCACAGTATGTGATGCTATTCACGAGCATTTTTTTCTATTGTAAAAAAAATCGGAAAGATAAAGGGATTGGGTCCTAAGACTTTTATTGCCCCTAGTCTTTGATTTGTTCTTAGATATAATTTTTCGGTTATAGCTATATGACAGTTTAAATGTAAATCTTTTTGTCATACTTCTTTACAGAAACTTGTTGTACTGGAAAAAAGAAAAAGCTCTATGCGAGAGATCATTGAAAACTGGAAAAGTGATAATAGCTGACAAGAGAACAATTGGAACTGTTGTATTCGGACGGTAATGGGAAAGAAAATTAAGCACTTTTCTAGAAAATATTCAAACATAAAGTTTACAATGCAGTATTGCGGCAGTTGAATTTGGAAGTAAGCTTATAATTGAGTAATCAACAGGTCAAAAAGATTCAAAGGTAGTAACTGGGTATAACATATGGCATTTATTAGTGCCATTTTTTTAAAGGTTTTATTGCCTTTTTATTATCATATACCGAAGAATCTTTTTATAAAAACTTAGATTCGGTTACCAAGGGAAATGGTATGGTGAATGCAGCAATCTTATCAACGTTTTTTTTTTTTTTTACTAAAGCGCTTGTGATGTCACCGACGAATGGTAGTCATATTCAAAATTTGCAATCTTTGGAATTGCCGTTAAGCATTTCTGGCGACTTGTTTTAGCTTACCAAATTATATTGCTTCTTTTTTTTTTCACTTATAGGATCACTGCATTTTGGATGAGAAGCTTACAGTTTTATAGCCGCATGATTTTATTCAACATTACTGGTGTTGAAAAAGCTGGGATATTGACACTTATAAAAGTCCTAGAAACGGGTTCTATGAAATTTGATAACAAAACCTGAAAATTTGTTGTGGTGGTCTGTTTCCCACTCTTTCTGCAGAATCTCCATCTGTGTGAGAATTCTACAGAAAAAGTGGGAATTATAACATCATAGCTGAACTTATGTTTGGACAGCTCTGTGCCTGTCTGTTCGAATGTTTTTTATTCATTAGAATCAATGGCAATTAAAGGAATGGGGAATACTTTTTAAAGTACTTTTTTAAAGTAAAGTAAAATACTCTTCTTTTTTTGGTCTCAGTTTTTCCATTAAATGGAACGATACCTCATTTTTCGTTCAATTTCATTAAAAATCGTAAGAGAGAATTACGACTAAATCTGTCCTCTCTTTCTCCTCTTTCTCTGCATAGATTTTCGAGGCCTTTCGTTATTTTGCTACAGTTTCTAAAGGTGCATAATAATAGTTGTATTATTTGAACTTTTGCTTGAATATATTTCAAACATCGAAATAAACGCAAGGAGCAGATAATAGGACCGGTCGACGGATTCTGCTCTTTACTTTCTAGCGACTATTCACGGCTGTAAGATTGAATGTTGTTTTTCTTTTCGCCTTCATTAATATTTATTTGTATGGAATTTCAGTGCTTTTACGATTATTGCCTCATTACAGTTGGTGTGTAAAGATAATATTACATCAATATAGTACTTTTTCATGGTTTATTACTTTACCATTTTATTTAGTCGTGATGTATATTCTTGCTTTCGAAGCAGTATTTGACTGTTGTTTAGTTCACACGTTGCAGTTTTAAATTCCGTTCTTACAAGTATGTTATGTATCTCAAAAGTTTATGCAGAATCTTTAAGCAGAAAGACGTCTTAAAGACCTTTCCAGGACTTACTGAAGTTAGTGTAGTATTTTCTCTGTGTGAAATGCGTTTTGCTACCAGTAGTGCCGGCAAATTGGCCACAGTTCTGTCCCGCTGATTGCAAACTTATTAGTTTCTATGAGATTTTATTTACTGGCTCCACTTAGATATTATGTTCATTAGCATATAATTTATTATATATAACCTCTTTTACATGGTTTACCATCTTTAAAAGAGTTGGCATGTAAATTTGTCGCGGCTAACCGATACTCTCTTAATTGAATGATGACTATAAATCTTCCTCCTAAAGTGCCAGTGCTCTTTAAAAGCTCTAGAAATTTTATTTTTTACTGTAGTCCCAATTAGCGCTTGAGATCCACAGCACCAATCACTGACTGTAATACTATTTAATGTAATTTTGATCAACTGTATTTTACTTTTACTATTTATCCAAATAGTTGAATTCGTCCCAAACAAAGAAGGATTGTGAACGCCTATTAACCTAAAGATATTTTATGGTCCTTTTTTAATAATATAATAAAACGATTGTCATACACAAGTACTAGGCTGCACCTATTAGGGAACAACTATGGTGCATGAGTGATACAATAAACAAGAAAACAAAGGCTAAACTAAGATGAACGATGACGAACAAAAAACTAATAATATTACTAAGAACGGTAACAATAAAGAAACACAAATTAATAATCAGAAGAAATAAAACTTTTAATGCCGAATAGGCTAGGGAGAGACGCAATGAAGCTAGAGAGCATTTAAATGAACAGCCGACAATGATCAGAACTGATCGAGAGAATATTTAATCTTGAACCTCTGATGCCCCTTTTATAACTTCTACTTGTCTCCTTTGTTGACTAACCACCTGTTCTTTGAAATGTTGAGACTCTGAACAACGGCCCCATCTTGAAGGTTTCCCTTCCTGGAGGTAACAGTGTTCATTGTCTCGAGTTCACCAACTTGAGCCAACTTGACCTTGACCAGCTGTCACTCCTTCAAAAGCGCTCCTTCAGGGAGTGAACGGTCGACACTGTTTGATGGACTTTGGCGTTTCGCGTACTGCCGCGCAAAAATTTGTTAAAACTGGGTAGGGTTGGACAAGAATTTTTTATCAAAAGAATTATCAAAATAACGAGAGGGTAGCAGCCACAAGGGCTAGTTTTTGGAAGGTGGGCATGGAAATGGGAGTGGTGACAGAGACGACCAGTGCTCAGTTGTACAGAAGTGGAATAAAGATGGTAGTTGAACACATTGAAGTGGATGAAGAAGAGCGCACTTGGCTAGAAGGATCAACGAATAAAGACCAAGAAGATTTGGCAGAGAGAAAGGTTCCGAAATTAATGAAAGAAGGTGATGCAAGAGGAATCGTTTTATACCCGGATATGGGTTCTTTAACTTTTGTCATCTCACCTTTTTTATGCCTATTCTTTGTTTTCAAAAATTTTTTTTTTTACCCTTTCCTTACTCTCTTTTTTTCCTCATTTACCATTTTCTTTACCTTGAATTCCTTTCCACACCTGTTTTTCTTATTCGTTATTTTATTTCCTTTATTCCATTTACTCCTTTACTAACATTTCTCCCTTCTCCCTTTTTTGCTCAGCATCCGCATGTGCCTCCCTCTCCTCCTTTTTTCTTCCCTTTCTCTCTTTTTCTTTCTTTACTTTAAAAAAAAAAAATTTTCTTGCGAAAAGACCTCAAGGTAGGCAAAAGGGACCGTACATTTTAGAAAAGAAGAACCACCATGTGATACAAGTGATCTCTTTTTATGTCTATCCTGCCTTACTATTATGTAACCCTACTAATTTGCAAATAGTCTTTTCTCGTTGTTATGGTTAAGTTTAACTCAAGCTCCACGGTACGATGCTGCTCCTCTGGCCACTCCCATTTGCTTCCGTCCAAGGCGTTGTTAGTCCGCCCCGCTCAGGAGTGTCACGACTACGCGCAAAAGGACCTCCTCCCTT